CAGAGCACTTATGACCTTTTGAAACAGGGGAAGTAGAGACAGACAGCTGTGTCTTCTTGAGTCATTCCTTTTATCACAATATTTTACAGTATTAACTTTTATTATACCAATCTTACAAAAATTCCTGGCAGATCTGAGGATTTCGATATATCATATCTTCTGAATGATCAGAATTCAGTAATTATAGCTAAAATAGCTACATTTTGCACAGCTTATATTGTTTGTCACAGGTTATTCACTAAACAGCATTTTAATATTTTGTAGGGCCAGCGTGATGTAGTGGCTGGAGTGTTGGATTATTGCTCTGTGGAGACCAGGGTTTGAGTTCCATGGAAACCCACTGGGTGGTTGACCTTAGGCAAGTCATACTCTCTCAGCCTCAGAGGAAGACAATGGCAAACCCCCTCCGAAGAAACTTGCCAAGAAAACCCTGTGATAGGGTTGCCTGTCATCACCATAAATTAGAAACAACTTGAAGGCACACAGTAAAAACAACAACAAAGAAGTTCTCATAATGTTCTAATACAATATATATCATAGCTTATTTATATTTTATGTCATATGGTGTTTTATACTTTTTAAGAACCATTTTCTACCTTACACAGAATTGCACCTTATTTTATATTCATTTTTAAAATTCACCAAGCCATACTTTATAATCTCTTTGCTGGCCTATGTCCAAAATAAAGTATCAAACAATCAATATGCCCTCCACCCCAATATTTAGTATAAGATCCCACGGTCTGAACAAATCAATTCCTTCCTTTCCCCACCATGCTATTTTCTCTGTTTTTGGACTGAATGGTAGGCCCAGTCTGTCTTCTAGTTTCTTTAAACTATTCTTTCTTTCTTTTGATTTGAAGTTATATAATTCTGTGTACCTTTAGAGTCTTACCAAATACATTGAAAGCATTCTTTTATTTTGGGGTGGGTTCTAAAGTGATAAAGACACTTGAGTTTGTTAATGGATGGAAGGAGGATGCTGACACACAGGAACCTACACAAAAATGTGGCACTAGGTTTCCGGTCCAGGACTTTTAGTAATGAATAAAGAGCTTTGAGCAGGATGCTGAGACAATGCCCAGAACTTTCCCAGACAGCTATTTAGAGAGCGCCCTGAGAGGAAATCATGATGGTTAAACCAGTATGCAGCAATCACGCCAGCCATTTTTTTCTAGGAATAAATGTAATGCATTTCAGCCTAAGTCAGTCCTTATGGTAATAATAACAATAATGATAATGGTTGTAAATCCCAGAGCTCCACCCCTCCAGCTATGTAGCAGCTGGATTTCTCCAGCAGAGGAATGCTGTTAGATACAGATGTTTCCCAGATGTTCTTTTTACTCCAATATGAAATGATGAGCAGCAGTAAAAGCAGGCCCAAAGGCTGAGCGTCTTTTCCAAAACTCTAAAAAGGCAAATACCACAATGGGCTCAACTCCCCACATATATTGAAAAAGAAGATGGGGGTACATATTTGGGCAGGATGGGAAGGTGAATAACAACCAAATATTGGGGAAATTACCAGCATACTCTCTCTCCTGTCTTTCTTTCCTTCTTTTATTATAACTCCCAGATTCTGTACTGAGCATGATCATGTTGGCTGGGGTTTTGAGGGAATTGTAGTCTGATAAAGTAACATTCTGAAGTTCTGGTAAGAACTAAAAGTTGCAAAAGAACACATAAGCAACAACTGCCCTCCAGGTAAAACACCTGGCTCTTTCCATCAGCCTGGTTTGTGCTTGGTAAGGGCAGTCTTTAAAGTGCAACCACTGCATACCTAAAGGGAAAGTTTTGCTTCCCCATCTGTTAGAGAAGAAGTAAGCAAAAGATATGGAACAAGCCTGAGCATCTTGTGGTCCACTAGACTCAAAACCCCTTTTACTTCTACTGTTTACATGGTCGTAAGAACAGAGCTGTTGTTGACCAACCTGCTGACCACCCAGATGAGCTACAAATTGTGGCAAGCTTGTGTAGAAGGAAAAACAGCTGTAGTCACAGCTCTTATCAGTGAGCCACTTTGGATGTAACGCCAATCTCTTCAAAGTGGTTTCTCCTCTCTGGTTGGGCTCTGGCTGCATCTGCACCAGAAATAATGCATTTTGGGACTGCTTTAACTGCCATGGCTCAATGCTATAGAATTCTGGGATTTATAATGAGATATTTAGCTTTCTATAGTTAGTGATCTCTGGTGCCACAACAAACTATAAACCCCAGGATTCCATAGCATTGAGTCATGACAAAGCGGTGTCAAACAACATTATTTCTGTAGTGCAGATGCAACATCTCTTCTTATGAAGGCTCCAGTCGTACCTTCCTATCTCCATTTTTTCCTCATACAGGAAATACCTTCTTGTTTAAAGTTTGGTCATTTCCTTTTAAGGAGAATGTATATAACAACATGCCAAAGCCATACATAACTGAGCATGAGTAGAATGATGCTCTGGGTTCCTACTCATCCTACCTCTGCTCAGTTATGGATGGCTTCAATGTGTCATTAATATTTTTTGCAACATGACAGAGGAGGTGGGGTAGCTATTTCGGCACCACTAACAGCAACTTTCAGAAAGGGACAACTCCCCCACATACACACATCCTGCAGGCAGCCTGACTGTATCCTATAATTCAATATTCTCACTCTTCCCCAATCCAAGCTGCTGAATCAGCCAAAGGAAATCCTGCCACACTCACTTGACAGTCAAGAATCTGGATAGAACTCTGACTAAGGGGGGTTGCAGACTGCCAGAAATAGTGCAAACTGAGTCCACTTTTAGGGTTAGGGTTAGGGTTAGGGAATCATGGGAACTGTATTTTATTGTGGCACCAGAGCTCTCTGACAGAGAAGGCTCAATGTCTCAGAAAAAAAAATTCCCATGATTCCCTAGCACTAACCCTAACCCTAAAAGTGGACTCAATTTGCACTATTTCTGGCAGTCTGCAACCCCCCCTAACATAGCTTTCCCAAGTCCTAGGCTTTAACTAGCTAAAGCAGGGGTGGGCAACCTAAGGCCTGGGGGCCGGATGCAGCCCACCAAGGCCTTTGGACTGGCCCCAGGCCAGTCCTGCCGCCGCCCCCCCGCCGCCACCACCACCCGCCATGATGATATTGATTATTGTTGTTATTACTTGTTCTTGGGGTTTTCTTGGCAAAATCTCCACAGGGGTTTTGCCATGGCTTTTGTGGGGCTGAGAGAGTGTGCATGCATATTTTTTAATATTTATTTTTTTAATTTTTAATTTTAATTTTAATTTATTTGTTTATTTATTTTTGGTGCTTCAGCCCCCCAATTGTCTGAGGGACAGCAACCCGGCCCCCGGCTCAAAAAGGTTGCCTATCCCTGAGCTAAAGGATCAGGATCCATCACCCGCTCCTCTTCTTGTCTGTATGGATATTTCACTCAATCATAATGAGATCAATAAGAGCAGAAGTTATGGGCTGACTGCCCACCCTTCAGAGAGGTTACTCAGGGCCTCTCCAGAGATGGTGAACACAAAAACTGCATAGTTGCTTGTTCCAGAGGCCAGACCTTTAATGTATTTCATTACATCAGCTATTCTTTTTTTTTAAGATATAGCATTTCACATTTTATTTGTGTCCCCTTTTGAACTTCCACTGCAATTTCCTCTTGATTTACTCAGTTCTGTTTGTAGTGGTTCAAATACTTAAGTCTTCCTTGTGGTCTCCAATATAGGCTTATCACGTGTTAAGATAAGCTGTGCAACACCCAAACTAGCTGAACAAAGCAAAGTTCCTTGCAAGACATGAGCTCCTTTGCAAAATGTAGTCTTGGAAGATCTGCAGAACAAATCTAGCAAGAGGTGTTCATATCAAAGCTGCCACGATGATATGAAAGTACCCTTGAAGATCAGTAGTAACTTAGGATAAATTTGTTCACACTTTTGATAAGGTCCTTAAGGTCCTTAAGCTGGGGACCAAGGGGTCCATGAATAATTTCAGTCTGTGAATTTGAATGGAGGGAAATTACATATTTATTTTCACCAACCTCAAACTGAAATTTAACATTTCTTTCAGTTATAAATACAGGCAACAAAGCACAATTGTATTGGCAGTATCTGTTTCCAACAGAAATCACAGATATTTTCACATCACTTTACAGTTGTTGCCAGGGGTATAAAACTTCTTTGCACATGAAGGTGATTCCCACTATATTTAACAAAGCAGCCAAACTGCCCATCTCCTCTGAAAAAGCCCATCGCCCCTAAAAAGCCCCTAATGATAAAAGGTTGAAAGACAATTAACAAATTACCATATTAAAATATCAACTAAGCAGGGTCAGCCCTGGTTAGTACTTGGATAGGAGACTGCCAATGAAGGAACTGGCAAAACCACCTCTGAGTATCCCTTGTTTTAAAAGTCCTATAAAATTCATGGGGTCGCCTTATGTCTTCAGATGACTTGAAGGCACATACACATATATTCACTTTAAAACAATTTTAAACAATTTAAAACATGACAAAAACAATAAAAGTACAGCACAGACATCCCATTAAGAGACCTTACCGCATACCAGTTTCTCAACAACTACCTGTTCAAATAAAAAGATCTTTACCTGTTGGCAAAAGGAGATCATGGAGTTAGTTGCCCACCCTAGTTTCTTATGGGAGAGAATTTCACAGCCTGGGAGCAGCCACTGAGAGGTCTCTTCCCTGTCTAGGATATTAAAAACCTATGGCCATGCTGGGTGGGGAATCACGGGAGCTGTAACCCCTAAAAGAAACTTTTCCAAGATCTGATCAGGGGGCAGGAAGGTCACTACAAACAGATCTGAAAGTGTCGGGGTGAAAGTACACCGAAGTGAGAAAGGTCAATTTTCAGTTTGTTGCTGCTGTGTGCCTTCAAGTCATTTTCAACTTATGGTGACCATAAGGTGAACTTATCACAGGGCTTTTCTTGGCAAGATTTGTCCAGAAAATATTTGCCATTGCCTTCCTCTGAGGCTGAAAGAGTGTGACGTGGCCAGTCTGCCAGCGAGTTTTCACGGCTGAACAGGGATTCGAACCCTGGACTCTCAAAGTCCTAGTCAAACGTTCAAATCACTACACTACAGTGGCTCTCCAAACAAACTTCCATGAGAAAGGATTAGTGTGAAACCAGGGTGTCTGATGTAACTAAAAAGTTATCTGTACCTGAAATGGAAGAGTGACTACTTGTCTTCCTCCTAGGCTGCTCTAAACTCCTTGGAGAAAATACCAGCTACAGTAAATAAAC